GCTAGCCGAATTCACTATTTCAAGGGAAAGAACTGGCAACTACGCAGCTTGAAGGACGGACATGGCTGCTTCTTCATCGTGCCGGTCATCGTCAATACGGGGGGCAGCGCTTACAATCGCCCCATCATCAGCGACATCCTCCTCAAGCACTTCATCCCGAAGTTTGACCGAGCCATTTGGGGTGAGAAGAGCACCAAGGGCAAAATTCACCTCCCAACCCCTTTAGGAGACAATTTTAACCTTGGAGCGCAAGGATGGAATGATGCAAGGGAGAAGGACTGCTGTTTGCATGTTTTTCAAGGCATATGGCTGGAATTTCCGAACTTGCATTTGGTCATTGCAATTTTGTCTTGCCCTGCAGGAGCTGGACAACATAGCAAAGGAGGAAGCCATTATGTACAACTTGGTGGGGCACGAGTTGGCAGATGTGATTGTGGTGTGCAATCACTTGGCTAGTGTTCTTCAGGTTTTGAGGGAAGGCAAGAAGGGCGAAGACTTTCTACATGAATACTACAATCTCACGGTGGAGGCGACAGCAAGGGGCTTCAAGCATGTGGGCGCAACGGCGGATGGCATCAAACGTGAAGTGGAAAGCATGATGCTTGACCCGATGACAGATTGGGGAAAGAGTTCCTTGCCGGTGCCGGCGCACTTGTGGAAATTCCCGCCCAAATAGCCCAAAAGTGGGTGATGAGGCTGACGCGTACAGGCAACAGATGTTGCGACAGTGCATGTTTGTTGGAAAATGACCTTGAAATGAACTCGAAACCCCTTTAAGCTCTGGAAAGCATCGGAGTCCAAGGTGTAAATGTAGGGGCCTAAACACTCCATCATCAGGGAAAACCCTGTTCTCATAATGAACGCCTCTCAGGTTCTGAGGCTCTGGGAAAGAGGCCTGCGACGCATCGTTTCTTTTGGGCCGCGAGGTTCAGAGTCGGGCGCGGAGTCTCACAATGGTGATGAGGGTTTGAGGCTTAGGGTTGGGTTCCTGTTTTTTTTCGTGGGCTTTTTCGGGATGTTGATGAGAACATGTGTATCTTGTGGGCATCTGAAAGACCAATAAACATATTCATATTGCCATATAGTCCCGATGTGACTGTAGTGTAGCAGAGCCAAAACCTTGTTCCAATTATGAAGGTCCCTATATTGTTTTGAGGACCGCGGGCTCTCTTGATGGCTCTGATTGTTCTGATCTTTCTGACCATGGTGGCTTGGGCTCAGGATTCAAGTGCTGATCATTACTCGTGACTCATAGATGTCTAGATCAGGTGTGAGTATTACCCAGCAATCGCCTACGGTGTGCGCCAAGAGTACTCGCATATGCCAAGTGGTAGGCCTTTGGCCATAGTTGACTAAAGCGATGTCTCCAGGATTCATAGGGTAAGCGGCAGAGTCCTACTGCTTTGACCGTATACTCCCTTGCAATTCCGGGGAGAAGCCGACTCTGGGTGGTGACGAGGCCAGAACACCACAGCGGACAAGCAAAGCCCTGCAAGGAAGATCATTCCGAGACTAGCTGAGATGCTCCTGTAGTCGGTTTCGGCGGCACAACGGCAGACACAAGTACACGGAGCTCCCACTATCTCAGGTTTTCCCTCAGGCTTGAAAAGCTCCCTGCTCAACCAAGCCGCTGCGGCAGCTCCAGCGATCTGGAGCCAACCTAGTTCCATGGCCGAACCTATCCGACCTTGAGAGCTTGAGAGGTATGTTACCGGTCAAGCTTGTTCCACGTTTCCTTCGTGAGTAAACTGTTCCCAAGACTTTTGCTATGGCTTTCCGCCCCGATATGAGCCAGGGAACCTTGTCCTCGTGGTTCTTGTACCAGCTAGCAGCAACAGTGGACAGCATATTTATCTCATCACTTTTCACGCCGTTACTCTCTCCACCTAGATGGCTCTGCCGCTCATTCTTGCGGTTATAGTCTTAGTTGTGTCTAAAGAGTGCTTCGTGGCTTTCGTTGTT